AGAATACTTTTACATAATTCTTTGCATCTATCATTGCAGCATCGGTGTCTTAGAGGGAGCTTGTAAGTCAACAAGCCTTCTCTTCCCCCTCTTACTGCTGGTGTTGCAGTTTAATAGTTGCAGCTTACTGCTCATGACTGTATGATTTGTTAAAGTTGCTAATTGGTTATTCCTATTTTACCAGGGTTCTATTTATATGTGTTAACTGGGTTTGCATATCCTAAACCCATTATTGTTGTGGTCTACTCTTTTGAACAAGTTTAGTATACAGGTGTCTCTTACATTATTATCCTCTACTGTTGAAATATGCCTGAACCCAGAGTGTCAGAGGTGTCAGGAGGATTGCAAGGTAAGGGCAACCACTGGGGACAAGCATTATCAAGCAGCCCCTGCGGGAGTAGCTCTACACACACACAAAAACACACATATACACTATATTGCCAAAAGTATTGGGACACCCTTCCAAATCATCGAATTCAGGTATTCCAATGACCTCCATGGCCACAGGTATATAAAATCAAGCACCTAGGCATGCAGACTTCTTCTACCGTGGTACTGTGATATGTTGCCACCTGTGCAATAAGTCCATCTGTCAGGGACTGCGGACCTCGCCGCGGCGCACAGGTCTGCGCATGCGCAGGTTGCCTAGGCGCACTAATGTGCAGGCACTAGGACCTGGGCGTCCGCGGTGGCAATTGCGGCCGCGCATGCGCACTCGTGCACGGGGGCGCACGTCTGGCACCAATGACAGTGCAGGGCGCACTATTTAAACAGGCCAGGCGGTGACCAGGTTGCCGCAAGGTCTAGTTCCTGTTCCTCTGAAGTCCGTTCCTGTTGCCGATCCTGCTTGTCCTGAAATTGTGTTGACCTTCTCCTGCTCTGACCCCCCCGGCTCGTCCCTGACTACTCTTCTGCCTATTGTTATATTATTATTTGGACCTCCCGTTGCTGAACCTTGGCTCGTGACCCGGCTGCTCTCTGTCTACTGCTTGGTACCTACACCGTTACCGACCTGGCTAGTCTGACCACGCTCACTCCTGACTGTCATCCATCCCGCTCGGGATCTGGACTTGTCAGCCTCTTCACATCAGGCTCACCCCTGGCACATACCCTCAGCGGGACCCCTCTACCACGGTTGGGTGCACTCAGGGGTCGCGACCTGGTTTCGTTCTTGCACCAAGTCCATCCCCACCATCAGGGGCTCTGGTGAAAAGGCAGACTGGGACTTGGACTCCGCGTCCTGGGGAATCCCGTTCTGTGGATCGCTGGAGATCCCACTGGGTGGTGCCTGACACCATCTATGAAATTTCCTTGCTACTAAATATTCCACGGTCAACTGTAAGTGGTATTATAACAAAGTGGAAGCAACAGGGAACAACAGCAACTCAGCCATGAAGTGGTAGGCCATGAAAAAAGACAGAGCGGGGTCAATGCATGCTGAAGCGCACAGTGCACAGAAGTTGTCAACTGTCTGCAGGGTCAATAGCTAAAGACCTCCAAACTTTGTGTGGCCTTCAGATTAGCACAACAGTGCATAGAGAGCTTCATGGAATGGGTTTCCATGGCTGAGCAGCTGCATCCAAGCCTTACATCACCAAGTGCACTGCAAAGCGTCAGATGCAATGGTGTAAAGCACGCCACCACTGAAATCTGGAGTAGTGGAGACATGTTCTCTGGAGTAGCATTCTACCAAGGGTAACATTTGGTGGAGGGCTTCTTTTGCAGGAGTTGGGCTTGGCCAGTTAGTTCCAGTGAATGGAACTCTTAAGGCCTCAACACATCAAGACATTTTGGACAATTTCATGCTCTCAACTTTGTGGGAACAGTTTGGGTATGTCCCCTTCCTGTTCCAACATGACCGCGCACCAGTGCACAAAGCAAGGTCCACAAAGACATAGATGAGAGAGTTTGGGGTGGAAGAACTGGACTGGCCTGCTCAGAGTCCTGACCTGAACCCAATAGAGCACCTTTGGGATGAATTAGAGCGGAGACTGCGAGCCAGGCCTTCTCGTCCCACATCAGTGCCTGACCTCACAAATGCTCTTTTGGAAGAATGGTCAAACATTTCCATAGACACACTCATAAACCTTGTGGAAAGCCTTCCCAGAAGAGTTGAAGCTTTCATAGTTGCAAAGGGTGGGCCAACTCAATATTGAACCCTACGGACTAAGGCTGGGCATACACTATACAATTTTCTGTTCAATTTCTGCCCAATTTCCTTTGGATTTACCTTCAACTACGTAGTGCAAGGGCATGCCTAATTGGATACAATTGAAAGTGTTCTTTAGGGTTGACCTCATATTATATGGTTTTTGGTAAATCTAAAGCAAAATTCTCAAGAAAATTGTGTAATGTATGGCCAGCCTTTCAATGGTATCCAATTGGGCAGGCTCTTGCACTACATAGTTGAAGGTAAATCTAAAGGACATTGGGCAGAAATTGGACAGAAAATTGTATAGTGTATGGCCAGCCTAAGACTGGGATGCCATTAAAGTTCATGTGCGTGTAAAGGCAGGAGTCCCGATACATTTGGCAATATAGTGTGTGTGTGTGTACACACATATTTTGCCTTTCAGCTCTATTTTAAAATGAATGGGTTGTTTTGCAAGGTGATGGTTTACAATCACTTTCATATTAGATGTTTCTTGAATAACATTCTACTTTAAGTACACTTTTTCTTATGCAAACTGCCATTGCTGGCCTGCTCCTGAAAATGCTAGTTGCTTGGCAATTTCTGGCTTTAATCCAGAAAAGGATGCAGCAAGAAAAGTCGTCATAAATCCTTATGTGCATGCATGCTCTTGGTTAGTGACTGATAAGTACTGAAACCATTGGATCAGCATGACTGTCAGGCAACTCTCATTTTTTGGTGAGCAATGATCATTTACATATATCCATAAGTACTTTTTTTTTAATTAGGATATTATACGACTTTTGGCATTTTAAAGTTAAACATATCAGTTGCATGGCAGAACAAAGAGCTATACTAGATTTTTTTTTCCAGTACACGTCTTTTTGTGAAAGGCGGGGAAGGTGGAATCAGGTAAAGTAGTTCAGGTTTAGACAGACTTCCTGCTTGACCAGGGTTTCTGGGCAGGGCTTGGAGCCTGGAGCAGTTAGGTGTGATTGTGTATCTAGTTCAGTTCTTCAGAGGGCTTTCAATGTACACGTTACACATATTTTACAGCAGGAAACAGACGCAGCTAGTACTCACTGCACATAGATTGAGGAAAATGTGACAGATCCTTGTATATGTAGCAATTGCAGTGCACTTAGCAGCCAGCCAGGTATTGTGCAGGGAGCAGTACACCGTCCTACTCACCATACAAGAGGCCTGCAGTCAGGATGCTCAGTTGTCCAGATCCAAGGTGACCTGTCATTTGGTACAGAGCCCTGACACACATGGATGAGGTCAGAAATGTCACAGAGGAAGAAGATCATGACAGCGGACTGTGGAATTTGGATTACCTGATCACCTGCTTCGCAGAAGAAAAAAATCTGTGTGTCGTTTGGATTGTGGCTGCTGTCCTGCTTGTTCTGGTTTACTTCCTTTTCTCTGTAATGCAAAATGTTCATTATTTCGCATTAATGTCCCTGTGCTTTGTTAACAATGAATGACTGATTAGCATGGCTTTTGTCATTAGCAAATATTTGTTAGTTTTTGCTAGTAAGACATTCAACTTTTTCTCAGTTACTTTTTTTTTTACATTTATCTTGCATTGATTTTAACTAAGATGGGTGTTAAAACAAAGGGTTAAATCTCTTAGTGGCTGAAACTGATTAACTCCATCGGTGCTAAATGTAGTCACAATGCTCAGTGGGAGTATTGGTTGCGAAGGGGTAAGGTGTATGCAATATCCTGGAGTATTGAAATCACTTTTGACCCACACTGCTGAGCAAACCCTTGTTGTCATAAAGCTGTAAAAAGCTGATCCACATCACACAGGTGTAATCTGGAGGACGCTGGCTTTTACTTTTATGCTCTTTCTTCTGCTGCTGCCAACAGCTAATTTCCTTCATATAAGCAATAGTTAAAAGGAAACTATGCTATCATTTTATAAATGTCAAACTTCAGCTTTCTCTCCAGGCAGACGCTTATGACATTGTTAAATGCTTCACAACAAAACTGGAGTTTTGTTTTAAAGTAAAAGCCGATATCCTTCATAAATTGCAATCATTGTGGAAAATGTCATTACAAACTTGTGCCTGCTATTCTGTAAATAGGTAAATTCTGACATTGCTTGTATAGCAGTTATATCTTTTATTTTAAAAAGAATATAACTGTTATAGAATAGAGAAAACATGTTGTTTCGTCATACGCTAGATTGCCAAAAGTATTGGGACGCCTGCCTTTAAACGCACATAACTTTAATGGCATCCCAGTCTTAGTCCATAGGGATCAATATTGAGATGGCCCACCCTTTGCAGCTATAACAGCTTCAACTCTTCTTGGAAGGCTGTCCACAAGGTTTAGGAGTGTGTCTATGGGAATGTTTGACCATTCTTCCAGAAGTGCATTTGTGAGGTCAGGCACTGATGTTGAACAAGAAGGCCTGGCTCACAGTCTCCGCTCTAATTCATCCTAAAGGTGTTATGTCGGGTTGAGGTCAGGACTCTGTGCAGACCAGTCAACTTCCTCCACCCCAAACTTGCTCATCCATGTTTGGATGTACCTTGCTTGTTTGCACTGGTGCACAGTCCTGTTGGAACAGAAAGGGGCCATCCCCAAACCGTTCCCACAATGTTGGGAGCATGAAATTGTCCAAAATGTCTTGGTATACTGACGCCTTAAGAGTTCCCTTCACTGGAACTAAGGGGCCAAGCCCAACCCCTGAAAGACAACCCCACACCATAATCCTCCCTCCACCAAACGTTACACTTGGCACAATGCAGTCAGGTACGTACTGTTCTCCCGGCAACCGCCAAACCCAGACACATCCATCAGATTGCCAGACAGAGAAGCGTGAATCATCACTCCAGAGAACACGTCTCCACTGCTGTAGAGTCCAGTGGCGGCATGATTTTTTTACCACTGCATTTGATACATTGCATTGCACTTGGTGATCTAAGGCTTGGATGCAGCTGCTCAGCCATGGAAACCCATTCCATGAAGCTCTCAACACACTGTTGTGCTCATCTGAAGGCCACATGGGGTTTGGAGGTCTTTAGCTATTGACTCTGCAGACAGTTGACGACTTCTGCGCACTATGCGCTTCAGTATGCGCCGACTCTGCTCTGTCATTTTACGTGGCCTACCACTTTGTGGCTGAGTTGCTGTTATTCTCAGTTGCTTCATTTTTGTTATAATACCACTAACAATTGACCGTGGAATACTTAGAAGCCAGGAACTTTCACGGATGGACTCCATCCTGAATTGCACAGGTGGCAACCTATCATGGTACTATGCTTGAATTCACTGAGCTCCTGAGAGCGACCCATTCTTTCACAAATATTTGTAGAAGCAGTCTGCATGCCTAAGTGCTTGATTTTATACACCTGTGGCTATGGAGGTGATTGGAACACCTGAATCCAATGATTTGGAGGGCTGGCCCAATACTTTTGGCAATATAGTGCATTTCTTATGTTGAACTGATTTGTTTTCAGAATTCGTTTTGTATCTTCGGCATTTGCTTCATAAATTCCTTGGTCCGGTCGGATTAAAAAAATTGTGCAATATTTCTGGAAGATTGCTATATATTTGATATATTTTCATATTGTATGGATTTGAAGCAGAAGATTTTATATTTTCTGACGCTTTCATGAGCTGATTGGACAATATCAACTGGCATTGCGTGCATCCGAATTAAGGAATAGAATGAAATTTGCATCCGTTTGTTAACTGAATCCAAATTATCGACTAAATTCGAAAATTTAATTCATTCCCTATGGGCCCCAACTACTATCTGGATTCAAAAGGAAAACAATCTGTGTTCTTAACTCAAAAAATATCTTTTGTTGCTCTGAGTCTCCTCCAACTCTCCAAATTCCTTTGCCCCTGAGATGGAGTAGGGACTATGAGATTTGCAGTGTGGATAGAGCGGTGCACATAATTGCAACTAATGTGTACTGCTCAGGGGCAGACTGACAACTCATGGGGCCCCCGGGCAATAGGGGATCATGGGGCCCCTGTGTCCTCCCCCACAGCCAAAGAAGTCCTACTGACCCCGGGCCCTCAGGCAGTGCCCGAGTGGCCAAATGGTCAGTCTGCCCCTGGTACTGCTTGTTCCGAACAAATGGAAGTGAGGTGGAAAGGGTTCAGGTGCTCACCCAGAACGATACAAGGGGACAGAAAAACACAAAAAATAAATGATTAATAATAAATAGATTATAGGGCCATTAAGTAGTGGATGTGTATGGATTGTTTTGGAAAATAAGGCCTCATTCACACTAGGCACTGTCAAACATAAGTTTATATGCATTTAGAGGATATTACTAAATTTCTATGGATGCGTGTAATGATTTCTCAATGGTGCCATTCACAGTGTGTTTACCTGTGTTTATTAGCAGTCAGTTTAGCTGGAAAAAATAATTCTGTGAGTCCAGGATTCTGTTAGACACTCTAAGACCTCTTTCACATGACCGTTAAATTACATCCAGGGGCGGACTGACCATATGGAAACTCGGGCACTGCCCGAGGGCCTGGGGTCAGTAGGGGGCCCCATGAGATGCCCCTGGTACCTTTTTCATAGGCTTTTTTGAGTTTGGGCAAGGACACAGGCCCCATGATCCCCTATTGCACGGGGGCCCCATGAGTTGTCAGTCCGCCCCTGATTACATCCATCTGATTCCAGCAGCAAGAACCAGTGGATTCTTGTGGCTGGAATGACCAGGGCATGCAAATAGCAGTGGCCACCCAGCCTATAAAAAACAATGACAGGCTGACAAGGGCAGCGCTCTTTGCATGTAGCCGCACACCAAGCAGTTACCTGCAGATATACAAGCCTATCCGCAGCTGACTGCATCACATCCACCCCTAACCACAGGTAACCTCATAGTGAACAGCGGCTGTCAGCCTGTTTATAGCTGCTGGAATCCAGTGGCTGCAACTAAACGGCATTGTGGGAGGCCTAAAAGCAGCTACAGGCATGTAAACATGACTAAATGCAGCCAAATCTGCTTTAAAGCTGGAACATCTAAATGCAGTGAAAAGTGATCTGGGAGTATAAAACTTGCTGTTACTTCTCACATCACTTCTGCATTTAAAAATGCTAAACCCAGGAGTGCCAATGTGAATGAAGCCTGAGCATATTGTTTAGTGTCACTTTAAGCTCTTTATGGAGTGGGTAATGTTGGGGGGTTCTGATGGTGGAGGGTTTCATCCAACAATCGTTTTATTTATTTCACTATTTCATTTAATTTCAGAAATTTCTACTTACGATGCAAAAGAAAATCAAGGCACGAGGAATCAGTATTTTGGAATATATTTATAGCTTCTTTGGCTCCATGTGTAATGCAATTGGATCTCTTTTGTCAAAGCAGCTCACAATACAGGTATGTGCGTAAATACATACATTATTTTTATACTATAACTAATTTTATTATACCTCATGTCCTGAGCTCTAAATGTTTTTTTAAAGTGTTACTCCAACTAAATGTATTGCTATTCTACACAGTAATGCTTCAACAATAGGATATATAGCGGTGAGTCTTAATATTAGTCGAAAAGGTCTTCTTATTGCCTTACCGTACCTCCTGAAGTTCACTTGTCTTGCACAGACCCATTTAAAATAAACGTTCTTTATTTTTCTTCCCTTACACATGAGTACATGCAAGATTCAAATACTGACTCTGTAGCAGCTTGGCTCTAACAGTACACTCTTCATTCAGCACAGATTGCCAGGCAGTGGCACAGACTGGCATATCTGGACCCGCATATAAAATATTAATCAAAGTCCCTGTGCTTCAGTCCTGATCCCACTGTTCCAGATCTAGACAGCTCAAGTGATACAACTCTCCCATCATATAACATGCTCATCCCATTACCTCCATTCATTCCACTCAGTGCTTAAAACACCTTCCCCTAGAAGTAGGTGCCTTGTTGCTCAAATTAATGAAAATACAGATTTGTCACATAGCAAGAAGTATTTACACCATTACATTTACCACAACTTCAAATCTATGAAGTTAGAATCAGGTATTCCATATCTACATGAGGGTGCAGTTTGTATTTTATTACAGTTTGGATGTATATGTGCTAAATGTTGGCTGTATTTTCTATTTACTGGAAATGTTCTTGATGATAATTTGATTTTTGTATCTGTGAATCTTTGCCATAAATAAAAGAATTAAAAAAAAAAAAAAGAATCAGGTATTCCAAATTAAGTGCCAATGATTAGAACCTCCATAGGAAGGAAGCAGGTGGAACCTGTCATATTGAAAGTGGATCTAAACCCAAAAACAAAAATTGAATATACTGCAGCTGAGACGGGTCCCAGATGTGGATTGGAGATGCTGGCAATGCAGCTAACAGGGATATATCGCGAGGAACTGTGGCTGAGAGATGAGCCGAGTTGCCTCGTTTAGGGTGATGAGCCGAGTTCCCTTGTGTAGGCTGGTAAACTAGGAGTTCCTGGTGTAGAGGTATGACCGGCAGGAACCATCTCAATAAGTCCCAGGTTTGACTTCAAAAGGATATCCTCAAGCCCTGTGGTCTCAGTGGTGTTGAACAGGTGCCAGGCCCAGTGCTTGGTGGACACTTAGGTGACCACTTTGGACTATGCCTTTTGTCAGTGGCCGTTTGGATCAAGTTCTACTTTAGATCCTTCCTGGGTGACCTTAAAAGCTGCTAATAACCTAATTATTCTGGTAGAGGGAGTCACCTGGATGTCTTTCTGAGTGTTTGACCAGACATCAGATAACATTGGTGATGGTGACCTGTGGGCAGGGGCGGACTGACAACTCATGGGGCCCCCGGGCAATAGGGGATCATGGGGCCCCTGTGTCCTTGCCCAAACTCAAAAAAGCCTATGAAAAAGGTACCAGGGGCATTTCATAGGGCCCCCTACTAACCCTGGGCCCTCAGGCAGTGCTCAAGTTTCCAAATGGTCAGTCTGCCCCTGCCTGTGGGTCCTCCTTAACTGACATTCTCGTAGTACTGGTTATGAATGCTCTGTGGGAGTAGGATCTGTCTTTGTTACTTAAAAATGCAACTTCTGGAACAGTTCTGCTTTGCAGGGCTCCAAAGGAGCAAATCTTACTGCATAACTTGGTAAATGCATGTCAAGTAGTATTTTTATTTTATTGCATGCTTTTCCATGTAAATGACATTTGATACAATGGCCCTGATTCACTATTGGGCGTGGGCGCATATTTATGGGCTCAAGTTTTTTACCCTGCAACCTAATTCACTATTGACCAGAGCCCATAAGCAGATGCCCAATCTAATTCACAAAAAGACACACGCCCGAAATCAGACTCACAAAAGCAGACTTGCTAAGAAGCACGTCTAAAACCATGAAAAATCACTGCAGAGACATGTTCACTTAGAAATTTGCTTTGCCAAATATCAGGACTTCACTTTAAACAATATCTGCTATTTCCAAAAAAATTAAGAATGTGTTAAAAATCGTTTTTTTTTTTTTTCAAGAAATCGACACAGTAAAAATCTAGACGCCCGTGCAGTGTCTTTGGCAGATACAACTGAGCATGTGCAGAACACATTTTAGACTTCTGCCATGGGCGTTTGCTTTTTAGCCACTGACTAATAGTGAATCTTACTGTGGATTCCTCTGACAGCCGACACTCGGTCGTGACTATTGTGTTTAATAAACAGCACTCGGCATATCTTCATGTAATCTAATTAGATTTCCTTAGTTCTAGTGATTCTATTTTTGTTTCTTATCCTTTATAATTATTTCTGTAATGATTTTACTTATTTCAAAGGTCTAGATAATATTTATTTTGACAGCTGAATGTAAAAATAAAGGTCCACAATAAAAAAAAAAAAAAAAAAAAAAAACAGCGTGGGTCCCCCCTCTCATCCTTACCAAGCCCTTCAGGTCTGGTATGGATATTAAGGGGGAACTCCACACTGAAATTTAAAAAAAAAAAAAAAGCGTGGGTCCCCCTCAATATCCATACCAGACCCTTATCCGAGCATGCAGCCCGGCAGGTCAGGAAAGGGGGGGGGGGACGAGCGAGCGCCCCCCCCCCCTCCTGAACCATACCAGGCCACATGCCCTCAACATGGGGGGGGGTGCTTTGGGGCAGGGGGGCTCCCCCCCCAAAGCACCTTGTCCCCATGTTGATGAGGACAAGGGCCTCTTCCCCACAACCCTGGCCGGTGGTTGTGGGGGTCTGCGGGCGGGGGGCTTATCAGAATCTGGAAGCCCCCTTTAACAAGGGGGCCCCCAGATCCCGGCCCCCCCCCTACGTGAACGAGTCTGCGGTACATGGTCCCGCAGACTTATTCACAAAAAAAAAAAGTGTGGTGTAAAAAAAACACAGTACAGGGTCTTTGACAAGTCCTTTAT